GGTTTAGTGACAGTAACAGAGGGACTGAGGGCCCTGCTCAGTGAGTTTACATGTTAGAGGGAGTGGGGTATAGTGACACAGTAACAGAGGGATTGAGGGCCCTGCTCAGTGAGTTTACATGTTAGAGGGAGTGGGGTATAGTGACACAGTAACAGAGGGATTGAGGTCCTGCTCAGTGAGCTTAGATGTTAGAGGGAGTGGGGTATAGTGACACAGTAACAGAGGGATTGAGGGCCCTGCTCAGTGAGCTTAGATGTTAGAGGGAGTGGGGTATAGTGACACAGTAACAGAGGGATTGAGGGCCCTGCTCAGTGAGCTTACATGTTAGAGGGAGTGGGGTATAGTGACACAGTAACAGAGGGATTGAGGGCTCTGCTCAATGAGTTTACATGTTAGAGGGAGTGGGGTATAGTGACACAGTAACAGAGGGATTGAGGGTCCTGCTCAGTGAGTTTACATGTTAGAGGGAGTGGGGTATAGTGACAGTAACAGAGGGATTGAGGGTCCTGCTCAGTGAGCTTACATGTTAGAGGGAGTGGGGTATAGTGACACAGTAACAGAGGGATTGAGGGCCTGCTCAATGAGTTTACATGTTAGAGGGAGTGGGGTATAGTGACACAGTAACAGAGGGATTGAGGGCCTGCTCAATGAGTTTACATGTTAGAGGGAGTGGGGTATAGTGACATAAAAGGTAGGGTAGAAATGGAAGTTGCTAGAAAAATATTTACTGAGGGCTTACTTTTGTTGTTGTTTTGTTTTTACAGTCGCAGGAGAGGAATCTGGGTGCGGTGAAGGAAAGCTGTTACCAGTTTAATTGATAGGCTTTCCTGATAGAGTTTCCAATTATGTTTTTAAGGAATGGAGACTGAGTGAAAGTCTAAGAGAGGGGAAAGCAGCTCCACAGGAAGGATGCACTCCTAGAGAAGTCTTGAAGGCGGGCATCAGAGACGGGAGTACGGACAAAGGATAGACATTTAGGCAGAGCGTAGGGGCTTAGATGGGACCCGAAATATCTACTGTAGGACAAAACCGGTAACAGCGCTGTGCAGAAATAATCCCAACACACAACACTGAAAATAACATTTATTAAACTTAGAATCACATACATCGTCATTATGGGGCTTTGTAGTCTCAATAATTTATTCAGATTCTCACAGTAACAACATGAAATGATGGGTTCTGAACGCTGGACCACAATTCAAGGTGCATTGATCTCAAATCTAGCACAGCTGCTACTCATTTCATTGGCTAGTGACTGCACAAGCATTTCCAGCATATTTCAAACCGAAAGAACCCGTCCTGGACATTCTTTTTCCGCATATATTAAAAGTACATCAATATTCAGCTCCTTTTACATCCCACATCATGAAATTCATTCATTGGAAAATGGAAAATGCAGAAAGTGTCCAGAATATTTTCATTCTCATCTCAACTCAGAGGAAGAGACCTATTCTCCAGCAACACTCGGAGGTGTAGCAATGAACTTATCAGTTCTCATTCATGTGCCACCTCCTGGGCCCACTCTGCATCCACTTCCTCCGATGGCCACAAACGTTTTGATGTATTGATCTTGTGCTGGAGGCGTTGCAGGAAACATTGTGCGGTCTGTGTGAGGCTGTGCTGTTTGGGGGGGAGAGAGAGAGAGAGAGAGAGAATGTCACACTGCGCTGTACGGAGAGAGAGAGGGAGAGAGAGCGAGAGAATGCCGCGCTGTACGGAGATGGAGAAAGCCGCGCTGCGCTGTACGGAGAGGGAGAAAGCCGCGCTGCGCTGTACGGAGATGGAGAAAGTTACGCTCTGCGCTGTATAGAGAGAGAATGTTACGCTACGCTGTACGGAGAGAGAGAGAGAGAGAATATGTCATGCTGCACTGTACGGAGTGTATTACAGTTAGTGATAAATCAATCTCAGTATTGATGTGGGAATAAAAACGAGGGCTTGGAAGGATGTTACCTGTAGGATATGAAGTCCTTTTAAGCAGATGATGGCCAGCTCACCCAGTCCGTCACATGTGAGATCCACGTGTGCCATGCAAAGCAGTGGACTGGGGAAACTTCTTTGCCAAAGTAGCTGGAACTGACCTCCCAGGTCAGGTCCTTCCACGTACTTGTAACACAGCAGCTCCTGGTGGCAGCGATGAAGAATAATTAGATAAGGAGTAAAGAGAGCGTGAGGATGTGCACTTGGTGTGAGGGTAGGAAGGTAATTACACAGAATGGAAGACTGCTGGCATTTGAGAATAAAGGGCAGATAATATGAGTGCTCTGTGTCCATCTTACTTGTTTCAGCTTTCTACAGAATACGTTGGCTTGCTTATTGGATTTACCTGTCCGTAGGTCCCCAACAGGATTTCCAGCTCACCATCAAAATCTACATCAGCCGTCACTGCACACAGAACGCTGTCAAACTTATCACTGTCCGGCAAAAGTAACTGATCCTGCAGACCATTATGTAAGACGTTTCTGAGATAGAATCAAAAACACCAGATCAATCGGCAGTGGGAGGGACAGACTCTGTGTGCCATAGCTCCTTCTGTCTGTGTCACCCAGCAGTGGGAGGGACAGACTGTGTGTCCCATAGCTCCTTCTGTCTGTGTCACCCTGCAGTGGGAGGGACAGACTCCATGTCCCATAGCTCTTTCTGTCTGTGTCACCCTGCAGTGGGAGGGACAGACTGTGTGTCCCATAGCTCCTTCTGTCTGTGTCACCCTGCAGTGGGAGGGACAGACTCCGTGTCCCATAGCTCCTTCTGTCTGTGTCACTCTGCAGTGGGAGGGACAGACTCCGTGTCCCATAGCTCCTTCTGTCTGTGCTACCCTGCAGTGGGAGGGACACACTGTGTCCCATAGCTCCTTCTGTCTGTGTCACCCTGCAGTGGGAGGGACAGACTCTGTGTCCCATAGCTCCTTCTGTCTGTGTCACCCTGCAGTGGGAGGGACAGACTCCATGTCCCATAGCTCCTTCTGTCTGTGTCACCCTGCAGTGGGAGGGACAGACTCCGTGTCCCATAGCTCCTTCTGTCTGTGCTACCCTGCAGTGGGAGGGACACACTGTGTCCCATAGCTCCTTCTGTCTGTGTCACCCTGAAGTGGGAGGGACAGACTCTGTGTCCCATAGCTCCTTCTGTCTGTGTCACCCTGCAGTGGGAGGGACAGACTGTGTGTCCCATAGCTCCTTCTGTCTGTGTCACCCTGCAGTGGGAGGGACAGACTCCGTGTCCCATAGCTCCTTCTGTCTGTGTCACCCTGCAGTGGGAGGGACAGACTCTGTGTCCCATAGCTCCTTCTGTCTGTGTCACCCTGCAGTGGGAGGGACAGACTCTGTGTCCCATAGCTCCTTCTGTCTGTGTCACACTGCAGTGGGAGGGACAGACTCTGTGTCCCATAGCTCCTTCTGTCTGTGTCACCCTGCAGTGGGAGGGACAGTCTCAGTGTCCCATAGCTCCCTTCTGTCTGTGTCACCCTGCAGTGGGAGGGACAGACTGTGTCCCATAGCTCCTTCTGTCTGTGTCACCCTGCAGTGGGAGGGACAGACTCCGTGTCCCATAGCTCCTTCTGTCTGTGTCACCCAGCAGTGGGAGGGACAGTCTCAGTGTCCCATAGCTCCCTTCTGTCTGTGTCACCCTGCAGTGGGAGGGACACACTGTGTCCCATAGCTCCTTCTGTCTGTGTCACCCTGCAGTGGGAGGGACAGACTCCGTGTCCCATAGCTCCTTCTGTTTGTGTTACCCTGCAGTGGGAGGGACAGACTCCGTGTCCCATAGCTCCTTCTGTCTGTGTTACCCTGCAATGGGAGGGACAGACTGTGTCCCATAGTGCCTTCTGTCTGTGTCAGCCTGCAATGGGACAGTAAATAAAAAAAACAAATAAAATCATTTATTCCCTAAATGGGACAGACAGAGAAGATGACTGACCTGTATACTACAGACAGCTCGATGGTGCTAGTTACCAGAATATTGTATTCATCTTTGAAGTTCTGTCTTTCAGGAAAACCTATAGATGAAAAACACAGAATAAGTAACAAATTAAAAATCATGACACTATAAATTCCCCATGACTGTACTCTCACCTTCCTCCAAACACTCCTCCCCTCCTTGGCCATGGGCACTGGGCATGCTGAAGATCAGGACTTTAGATAGTGGTCCATCCTGCTGTAACGACCAGCTCTGCAAAACCACTGAAGAGATAAACCCAGGCATATTAAAGCACCATAACTACTATAATGTGCCTGCCACCCCTCCCCCCACCTTGTAAGGAGTCCAACTTAGCCGGTGGTTTGATTTTTTTTTTTATCTGGGGTCCGCCTGGCCCCATTCCTTTCTTCTCTGCAGCTTTAGATCAGGAAGCTCTCTGCCTGCACTACACCTGGCAGTGCGGAGATTAGCTCATTGTCGGGGAGCCATTTGCTGACGCTCAGCCAAAAAGCTGGACCTAGTTCAGATAAGTTAGCAGAAGCTCACAGCAGGAGATTCCAGCTTTCCACATCAGTAAAGGAGAGGCACAAAGCAGCCTTACATTGAGGAGACACCAGGTCACTCCTTAAAATGTAACTTACTACAGCAGGCCTTAGTGGTTATGGTGCTATGTTTTATTAATGCCACGTGCAGAGAAGTACCTCACCTCTCTGACCCTGGTCCACGTGGGCAACGCAGATGTATCCACTCTGACAGCCATAGGCGGTAACACGACGCTGCGTGTCTGGGATATTGTAAACACTGAGCCATGTAACACTGCAACATACAGAGGTGTGGGTGTTATATAAGGTGGGACAGAGCATTGGGCGTGGATCGGGATTTGTGAGATATATATTGTTGGATAAAGTCTACAGAGCTTGATCAGAATTGGGGAGGTCATATAATATAACATGGGGTGGAGAATAGGGCTTGGATCTGGATTTGGGGGTCATATAACATGGGATGGAGACTCAGGCTTGGATCTGGGTTCGGGGGTCATAACATGGGGTGGAGAATCAGGCTTGGATCTGGATTCGGGGGTCATAGAAGATGGGATGGAGAAACAGGCTTGGATCTGGGTTCGGGGGTCATAACATGGAGTGGAGAATCAGGCTTGGATCTGGGTTTGGGGGTCATAGAACATGGGATGGATTGGGTATTGAGAGATAAGTTAATCTTACTTGCTTGGGAGATCTTTCAGCTCTGGGAATAGATTTTCCACGGATTGCTCTTCAAACTGGTGCAGACCCTCGTTCTGTGGGTGGCCATAGTTTACATAATTAGTACTATAACAGTGAACAAGTTTAGCAAAAGAAAACCAACAAACAAGGTTAACGAATACGTGATAAAATAAGTGTGTACTTGCTCTAAAAGCGTTATTCGTATGTCACATAATGGGGCTTATTCACCAATACTGGGAATTCCTGCCAAAACTGGATATTAATGACTGCAACTTTAAATGTACACATCTATAAACCCGCCGTGGCTCAGAATTGTACTTCCCGTATACGTTGCAGCATTGACACATCACACACAATGCGGACAGATAACTCTCTCCTCCACTCTCTGGCTTAGGAGACACTGTGCACATCTGAAAGCTCTGAACTAAACCGATAGCGGCCGCGGTATGGCTGCGTATAAACCGATAGCGGCCGCGGTATGGCTGCGTATAAACCGATAGCGGCCGCGGTATGGCTGCGTATAAACCGATAGCGGCCGCGGTATGGCTGCGTATAAACCGATAGCGGCCGCGGTATGGCTGCGTATAAACCGATAGCGGCCGCGGTATGGCTGCGTATAAACCGATAGCGGCCGCGGTATGGCTGCGTATATAGCGATAGAGGCCGCGGTATGGCTGCGTATATAGCGATAGAGGCCGCGGTATTGCTGCGTATATAGCGATAGAGGCCGCGGTATGGCTGCGTATATAGCGATAGAGGCCGCGGTATGGCTCCGTATAAACCGATAGCGGCCGCGGTATGGCTGCGTATAAACCGATTGCGGCCGCGGTATGGCTGCGTATAAACCGATAGCGGCCGCGGTATGGCTGCGTATATAGCGATAGAGGCCGCGGTATGGCTGCGTATATAGCGATAGATGCCGCGGTATTGCTGCGTATATAGCGATAGAGGCCGCGGTATGGCTGCGTATATAGCGATAGAGGCCGCGGTATGGCTCCGTATAAACCGATAGCGGCCGCGGTATGGCTGCGTATAAACCGCATGCGGCCGCGGTATGGCTGCGTATAAAACAGATAGCGGCCACGTATAAACCAACAGCGGCCGCGGTATGGCTGCGTATAAAACAGATAGCGGCCGCGGTATGGCTGCGTATAAACCAATAGCGGCCGCGGTATGGCTGCGTATAAACCAATAGCGGTCGTGATATGGCTGCGTATAAACCGATAGCGGCCGCGGTATGGCTGCGTATAAAACAGATAGCGGCCGCGTATAAACCAACAGCGGCCGCGGTATGGCTGCGTATAAAACAGATAGCAGCCGCGTATAAACCAACAGCGGCCGTGGTATGGCTGCGTATAAACCAATAGCAGCCGCGGTATGGCTGCGTATAAACCAATAGCGGGCGTGATATGGCTGCGTATAAACCGATTGCGGCCGCGGTATGGCTGCGTATAAAACAGATAGCGGCCGCGTATAAACCAATAGCGGCCGCGGTATGGCTGCGTATAAACCAATAGCGGCCCCGGTATGGCTGCGTATAAACCAATAGCGGCCGCGGTATAGCTGCGTATAAACCGATAGCAGCCGCGTTATGGCAGCGTATAAACCGATATCGGCAGCGGTATAGCTGCGTATAAACCGATAGCGACCGCGGTATGGCAGCGTATAAACCGATAGCGACCGCGGTATGGCTGCATATAAACAGATAGCGGCCGCGGTATGGCTGCGTATAAACAGATAGCGGCCGCGGTATGGCTGCGTATAAACAGATAGCGGCGGCGGTATGGCTGCGTATAAACCGATTGCGGCCGCGGTATGGCAGCGTATAAACCGATATCGGCAGCGGTATAGCTGCGTATAAACCGATAGCGACCGCGGTATGGCAGCGTATAAACCGATAGCGACCGCGGTATGGCTGCATATAAACAGATAGCGGCCGCGGTATGGCTGCGTATAAACAGATAGCGGCCGCGGTATGGCTGCGTATAAACAGATAGCGGCGGCGGTATGGCTGCGTATAAACCGATTGCGGCCGCGGTATGGCAGCGTATAAACCGATATCGGCAGCGGTATAGCTGCGTATAAACCGATAGCGACCGCGGTATGGCAGCGTATAAACCGATAGCGACCGCGGTATGGCTGCATATAAACAGATAGCGGCCGCGGTATGGCTGCGTATAAACAGATAGCGGCCGCGGTATGGCTGCGTATAAACAGATAGCGGCGGCGGTATGGCTGCGTATAAACCGATAGCAGCTGCGGTATGGCTGCGTATATACTGGAAGCGGCCGGTATGGCTGCATATATACAGGAAGCGGCCGTTATGGCTGCGTATATACGGGAAGCGGACGCCATTTGGCGCAGCCCTTATCTCTGTTTTTATTTTCTGTTGTATTCTAAGGGTTCTTGAGGGATTCCCTTAAAGGGTTTGTGGCAAAACCAGCCTCGACACTGGACATTGGAGAAGACTGATTGCGAGCCTCCTGCCCTGTGACTATGGCCCCATGTTGAAATGCTTGATTTTCCCCTGCAAAGACCTGAAATCCGGGTCATTCAGTACTTTCCTTATGTGAGCAGTGTTACCCCAGATAGCTATGCCATGGAGCCCATTCGTATAACTAAAGACTATGTGAAAGACTTTGGCTCCATGGCAATTGAACTGTATGTATGTAATCTGAGCGCCATTCAGTAATAATGTGCGCTCAGATCTAAGCTATCTGGGGATATGTTGAATGTACCCGATTTATGCAATAGCTGCACAGTTATATTTTTTTTATGTATTTTATTGTATTTTGCTACCATGTGGCTAATGGAGTTTTGCCTCTGTCCTTGGAGATAATTGGATTACTTCCCAATTATCTCCAGGATAGAAGACTCTGTGGAACTGGTTTTGGGCAGAAAAGCCATGCTTCATTTGGTCACAAAGGACGTTGATCTACCTTTTGACCCACTGGACCAATTTGTATGATTTTGACTTATGTTGGTACTTGGAGTATGCTGATTCTGAAAATGTAAGTTTTTATGTGAATGTGATGTATACTTTTAGAGTTATGAATATTGTGTAAAACTGTATTTTCCTGCCTGTGATAAATATGTTAGACCATTGTGTTCAGTAATTATTTCACAGGCAGAGGGGAGGATTTTGTGTGTGAGTGTCTGAGTGTATTGTACGTATTGATTGGTTGTTCTGCAAAACCCTGTGGGCAGTACTAGGTTTGTAGAATGTGAATAAAAGAGGCTGTATGTGTCAGTACAGTCAGTTCTACTTTATCCTCAATTTGGAGTGCCGTCTCTTATTGGGGGAACCTGCTACAAGGGATTGTGATGCTCTGCATACTCTCTTGCTATATTCACTACTAAGCTCTTGTAAGAGCTTGTTCCTGTTCTGCTCTCTGAAGGAGTCCACGGTGGTTATGGTGTCTGCTGCAGTGCTTGGAGTCCTCAGGAAGCGCTAGGAGCATCCTTCAATGGAGGTACCCAGTCGGGGTGCCAGGTGATCCGTTACAGGGTTGCTGCCCCATTTTTTGTTATCTAGCGCTTACTCTCTATTTTATTCTGCGTCTATACTGGAAGCGGCCGTGGTTAGTTGTGTGCTAGAGGCTTGTTACACCCCAGCACATGTGACATTGGCATCTCTGTGTGAACTTATGCGACGTCAGATGGAGGTATGGAAAGCAGCAGGTTCACCCTGCGCTGGATTTCAGGTAATTGAACACTATTTTTGCAGTTTAATCTGCAAAGGGGGGTCCTTCTTCCTAGTTGCCCTATAGGCCATATTAGGCTGAGAAGGTCCCTGTTCAAGACCCTTTAAGTAAAAGGCTTGCATTTCTTATTATTTTGATATATTTAATTATTTTGTTATAAGGTTTTCAATACATTATCTATATAAACAATATGTTACCTCTTTGTAAAGGTGGATACATTGATCATTGCCGCCCAGTAAAAACACAGTCTCCTGATTGTCTCCATCCTGAATCCTGTGAGATAAAAGACATTTATAATGAGAGGGGGTCTCGGGCCACCGGACGGCAGTGTGAACCCAAGGTTTCGGGGCACAGCTCTTTAAGAAAAAAACAAAAAACCCTACAAACATTAAAGTGTTCCTACATTACATAATATTGGCTCCATGGGATAGAGTTTGTTTGATCCCTAAATTATTTACGTTTCACTTATTGCACCTATGTAAGAGGGAGCTGAGGATGTCCCCTGTCCCTCGGCCTTCTACATTATGATGATTTTTGGGTGAATGATGTTTATACATTTCCAGTTTACTTCCGCCCTCTCAGGACTCCAGGGTTCTCACTATTTACAAGGTTTACCTGATTTAACAGATATGTTAATTTATGGCTCTGATATATCTTATAAGACCTGTGTGTCCCCATTCCTGTTTATGCCCTGTGTGGCTAACAAAATCAAAATCGACTTTTCTTTATACTTATAACCATAGCTGAGGACCTGCGTGTCCCTTTCTCATACCTACTACTTTGTTGCAAAAAAGAAAATTCTAATTAAAAAAAAAAAAAAATTTGAAAATATTTAAAGTCTTTTATAAATAGGTTTTTTACATATAAAAGAAATTATAGTTATATGATATATAAACAAGATATGTGGTATTACAGCAAATCTCCTTTAAATTGGCTGAAAGGAGATTTATCAAACTGTCCCCACCTGGAGAGTCCTACAAACCATAGAAAGCAGAGCACTCGGCAGGCCGTGCCTTGGGGTAGCTCCACTTTGATATATTTGTTCCAATCTCCAAATCCTGACACTTTGATAAATCCTTCCCATGTTTTACTTATTATAAGCCCGGATGTCATCTACCTCTCAGAGGCTCACACTCCTTAACAGAGCCGGTCACTAATCTGGAATTATTGTCAATTCACTTGGAAATAGCAAACTTTAGGGAAAAAATAAAAAGATGAACTGAATGCCAGCCACCCTTATTGGATTCCTCCTCAGCTGCTGTTACTATATGGCTATCTACCATAATCACTGTAACACTCTCCCTATGGCTATCTACCATAATCACTGTAACACTCTCCCTATGGCTATCTACCATAATGACTGTAACACTCTCCCTATGGCTACCATAATCACTGTAACACTCTCCCTATGGCTACCATAATCACTGTAACACTCTCCCTATGGCTACCATAATGACTGTAACACTCTCCCTATGGCCATCTACCATAATCACTGTAACACTCTCCCTATGGCTACCATAATTACTGTAACACTCTCCCTATGGCCATCTACCATAATCACTGTAACACTCTCCATATGGCCATCTACCATAATCACTGTAACACTCTCCCTATGGCTACCATAATCACTGTAACACTCTCCATATGGCCATCTACCATAATCACTGTAACACTCTCCCTATGGCTACCATAATCACTGTAACACTCTCCCTATGGCCATCTACCATAATTACTGTAACACTCTCCCTATGGCCATCTACCATAATCACTGTAACACTCTCCATATGGCCATCTACCATAATCACTGTAACACTCTCCCTATGGCTACCATAATTACTGTAACACTCTCCCTATGGCCATCTACCATAATTACTGTAACACTCTCCATATGTCTGTCCATCATATTTACCTCTCCCTCTCCATATGGCTAT